GAATACACACCGCCCGGCGGTAGGGATTCAAAGTCACCAACGGCCAGTCCCGGAAAAGCAACGACAAAATCGAAAAAGCTAAGAACATCAAACATCGAAGTCATCAAAAGCAGACTGATCGACTTCGCCTTCTACATCTGAAATCCCAGGACCGATTTCAACCGAATCCGGTGACACCACGACGGGATTCCATTGACCCCACATGCGCGCCTTAAGGTCGAAAAATTCAGACTGCATATCTTTTTCCCGATTCAAATCTTCCCATCGCACTTGGGATTCCTTAGCAAACGAATACCCTTCATTCTGAGTCAGGGATAACCCATGAACGACCCCGCGACATTCGCGATAATCACCATGCGCCCGTTGAATAGCTTCCGCATCCGAATAACCGGTTGCAAATCGCTCGCGACCGTTGGTGTCGAAAACCATACTCTCGAAATCAACGTCTGCGATAGCTTCTGTAAAAGGGAGATCATTACTTTCCGCAAAAGTGATTTTATAAAACTCAGAATCGTTTTATAAAACTCGAGAATCGTTTTATAAAACTCGAGAATCGTTTTATAAAACTCGAGAATCATTTTCTAAAACTCGAGAATCGGTTTATAAAACTCGAGAATCGTTTTATAAAACTCGAAGAATCGTTTTATAAAACTCGAAGAATCGTTTTATAAAACTCGAGAATCGTTTTATAAAACTCGAGAATCGTTTTATAAAGCTCGAGAATTGTTTTATAAAACTCGAGAATCGTTTTATAAAACTCGAGAATCGTTTTATAAAACTCAAGAATCATTTTATAAAACTCGAGAATCGTTTTATAAAACTCAAGAATCGTTTTATAAAACTCGAAGAATCGTTTTATAAAACTCGAAGAATCGTTTTATAAAACTCGAGAATCGTTTTATAAAACTCGAGAATCGTTTTATAAAGCTCGAGAATCGTTTTATAAAACTCGAGAATCGTTTTATAAAACTCGAAGAATCATTTTATAAAGCTCGAGAATCGTTTTATAAAGCTCGAGAATCGTTTTATAAAACTCGAGAATCGTTTTATAAAA